GTGTGTGTGTGTGTGTGTGTGTGTGTGTGTGCACGCGCGCGTGTGTGTGTGTGTTCAGATCACAGCAGAGGAGCTGACGGGGAACGATGACTACATCGATCTCTCCTTCAGTGCCAGGAAGCTGGACGACAAGGTAGCAGCTTCAGTCTCAGATCTGTTTCCAGTTTCCTGGGTTTAAATGGTCTGGAGGCTAAGCTAGCTAAGAAGATAGCTGCACTAACCATAAGGCACTGGTCATAAAAATTAGCTTAGTTAATGCTAAAGCACTATGCTAACTCAGCTAAGCTAACACTAAAGCACCAAGCCAGTGCAGTATTTGGTGGGAGCTAATGCTAAAGTCCTAAATTGACGCCACCATGTGTTGAGGAGGAGCTCAAAACAATCCATACATGTGAATTTTCAAACCTCAACGCAGAGGTCAAACTGTATTCAGCTGAAAGTTTACAAAACAGACGAGTAAATTAGCACTTCAAACTTTATCTGGTAAAAGTAATGTAGGGGAAGCTAAGGGTGCTAATTGTTTTCAAAGTTAGCAAAAGCGTGAACAGAGGTTGTTCTGTTGTGATCAGAAGGCGTTTCCTGAGGTAGAGAAATGGAGGGAATATTCCTCTGCAGGAAAATCTCTGCTGATCCCGAGTGTTTCTGGATGTTTCCCAGGACTTTTTCAGTAAATCGGATCCGTTCCTGGAGCTCTACAGAGTGAACGACGACGCCACCATGCAGCTCGTCTACAGGACTGAGGTAGGAGATGCACAACAGAATCCAAAAATACTTCAGAGACTCGTCTCAGTACTTTACAAATACTTCATGTTTACAACATCAACGTTAATATTCATCAATATCTGCATTTCAGAAAACGTTTCATTTCCAATTCATCTGGTTCAGTTTGGGTTCATCTGGTTCAGTCTAACGTCTCCGTCTCTGTCCTCCTCAGACGGTCATGAATAATCTGAATCCAATTTGGAAAACCTTCAAAGTGTCTCTGAACTCGCTCTGCAGCGGAGACCATGACAGGAAGCTGCAGGTAAGACGCCACCCGTCCTTCAGACGATGATGTCAGCTTATGATGTCACGGCTCCAGGTTAAATGTGGACATCTGATTGGCTGCTGCGGCAGGTCGCACTTTAGCTAACAGTGACAGGAAAGCCTTCATCTTCATCTTCCTCCGTCAGTCTGTGTGGAGCCTCAGATGTTTTTTTTAACCCAGGGGTCAGAGGTCAATCTTACGGGTGTTCCAGTGAAACTCTGAACCATAAAGTAACTGGGAGTTTTAGCTGTGAAAACAGATTCTTGGGAATTTCCTTGAGCAGCTAGCCTGGTGAGCTAATGTAGCCGGCAAGCTAATTGTTGGTAGCAGCTGCTAGCCAGCCGCATTAGCTCGCTAAGCTAGTTGATTTCGTGCTGTGCACATGCGCTTGACTGCAGGGCAGATGGCATTCTGAATAAGAACTGATCAGGAAGTGACGTATGGGGTGCCATTAGTGCATTTACATAATCAGAAACAACAGTGGTTATTTAGGAGCAAAATGCAGGTTCGTTTTTATTTTCACCGTGTCATTCATTCGTTCATAAACTTTTAGTTATAAACAGCAGCAGTGGTGGAGAAAGTACTCAAAAAATGTACAAGTAAAAGTACAAATACACAGACAAAAATATA